GNCCAAGGACTTTGGATTAATAACTATGAAACACATAGGAAATTCACTTATCTTCATAAGTGTCGAATCCTTTATTGGCCACTAACAAACTTCCATACATATTAACATAATACCCAAAATATCCCTTTATACGATAGTGCTAGCTACCAAAAGGATAAATCAAAGTAGAATGTAATATGCACAAAGTTACCATTGTGCCTCAAGTCTTAGGATTAGTCATGTACTATTGTAACATGAAAATTCTTATTCGACAGATTATTAACTAAAATAATTCTTCGTTAAGAATTTTCATACGGTCATGTTCAGTGAACTTGTTCTCTAACAAGCACCCACATAAATGTATTTGCGTCACACGCTTGATGGAATGCAACATTCTTGTCCAACAAGCATACAAACTATGTGCAAGTCTTTTATGGATTATTCGATATCCCATCTCGAAACATCCATCGACTTGGAACTGTATTTAAGATCACGGCTTTCAAGGTATGTTCCATGATCACCATCTCTATGCGCAACCATACCTTATAACCATAAGTGATCTAGGGATTTTATCTTAAGTGTATTTATAAGATAAATGTTTTCTCTTAAGATAAAGAAATGCCTTATTCATAATATAATTCCAATAGACTGTATTTACAAGTAGAATACGTCCAATCAGATTGGAACGCCGGGTACCCTACTCTAACAAGCACACCATGGCATTATCTTCATCCCAGAACTCAATTTTCATGCAAAATGGCTTTTTAATGATCTGGGAACTGTCAAGGGGCCACCCGCACCTCGACAGTTCCACACTGCTACCTTCATTGAGGGGAGTGGGGCCTATTAGCGTTGGCCTCTGACACCCCTTGTGAACTGTGTTTGAGCTTTTTGAGTGGATTCTCTTCTTCTGATAGCGAGGTTACTTGATCAACCTCTATCATTTGCTGGACTCCTATTTGTCTCTTCCCCCTAGGTGTTGTCTGTAAGGGTTGTTGCATATCCTTAGGGGAGCTTTGCTGCTGTCTCTTCCATCCCTTTTTAGGTCCTCTCTTGCCAACTTGTTTTGTGGATGCTTGGAATGGTTCATGTATGATCATGGCTAACTCAGGGGTATTCTGTGTGGATGCTGTGGTTTCAACTTCCATATCCAGTGGTTGATAGCCTATGGTTGAGGGTTGAGTGTTGTTGATTATGTTGTTGAGGATTGGGTTGATATTGGTAGATGTTTTCTCTAGTGGTATAGTTTTGGCTGCTTGAGCAGGAATATGAGAAGATTCTGAATGTAGCAGGGTGGCTGGTGATTTTTGATTTTCTGTGGGGATAATGTTATTGTGGTGGTTGGGTTTAGTGTATGTGGTGTGATCTGCATTATCTGTATTGGTATTGAAGGTGTAAGTGTTTGAGGGGTTGGAGATTGAGGGGTGAAAAGTTTCTGTGGCCTTCAATCAGTCGCCATAGAGCCTTTCTCTGAGATTACCGTTGCTAATGTCCGATGATCTTCGATCACAATTTCGATCAATATGGCCCATTCCCCAACAGTAGAAGCATAACTTAACTAACCGTTCATATTTGAAGCGCACTTTAACTATTTGGCTTCCCATTTGTATGTTGGTGCAACGGAGTTGGGGTTAGTTTACGTCAATCGCTGCTAAGGTTTTGATGCATTTCCCTGCTAGGAGGCCTCCTTAGGGGACATTGACATCGTGCATTTTGTTGAACACCTTTCCAATCTTCATCCCAACCTCAGCCGATATCCAATGGAGTGGCAAGTTCCAAGCTTGGATCCACATATCTATTTCCTGAAAACATGGGTGATCAGCGTTGATTCCTTCTGACCATTCCTTGAGGTTAAGGAATTGGTTCTCAAATGTTCAGTTTTTCCCTTTGCTCACTTTCTCTTTATCTTCTTTGTCCGTGAAGACGAACTGGAAAAAATTAGGGCTTATTTCTCGGACTAAAACTGGAGCACGAATTTGCCACATTTGATTTATGGCTCTTTTGATTCCGAAGAGGTTTGCCCTTTTTTGCCCAATGATTTTCCCCAAGAGGCTGCGGGAACAATCATCTGCATTGTGTTGAATATCTGAGGAATCAATTGGGAATACGGTGTTCTTCTTTTCGGATAGTTGAAAAGATTCAAGCTTAGTAGCAAGGTCGTCTTCCATTTGTACGAGGGGTCACACAAGCTGAGTGAAGAACAAAGCCTGCGAAGAAAGAAAATACCCCAGCGGAATAATATAGAAAGCCCTAAAAATAAACTGCCAGATGCTAGAATGGGGATAGTGGGATTTAGTTGTATAAAATGGAATTTAATGCCTCTGATGAAAGAGGGATTATACCTGAACTAGAGGGAATGATGTCTCAGGAGAGAAGATCGGCTCCCATCGTCGAGAGAATCGTTTCCGTTATTAGATTTGAAAATGCTATTGGCTCATCAACAATCCCAACAACGACAACAAACAGAAAATAGTTAATTAGAAATAAACATAGGAAACACTTTCCAACTATAGTAATGGGTTGCGGGACACACGAAGAAAAAAATATTTGTAAAAAAGTGATTTCGTTAATTATATAGCAAATAGATTAGTTTGTTTCTTTATAGCAATTTCACTGGCCCCGTAGTCAAACAGAAGGGAATATATTATTATTATTATTATTATTATTATTATTATTATTATTATTATTATTATTATTATTATTATTAATTGAGTGTAGAACAGTTAAATGAAACCAAACGTTCAGGAGATCTACATGTTAAAGGTTGATTTGTTGTCTATAGTAACGGGTTGCGGGACACACGAAGAAAAAAAAAATTGTAAAAAAGTGATTTCGCTAATTATATAGCAAATAGATTAGTTTGCTTCTTTATAGCAATTTCACTTGCCCCGTAGTCAAATAGAAGGAAATATATTATTATTATTATTATTATTATTATTATTAATTGAATGTAGAACAGTTAAATGAAACCAACGAGATCTACATGTTAAAGGTTGATTTGAGCCAAACTCAGATTCGTTTAGTCAAATTTCACTGGCCCGTAGTCAAACAGAAGGGAATATATTATTATCTATTAATATATAATAGAGAGAGAGATTTGCTTAAAATAGCATGTAAGTTCCTGCCTAAAAAATTTGATTTTGCTATTATTAGTATTTTTTTTAAAAGAATTCGTTTATCCAACCTTAAGATTCGTTTAATCCAAAAAATCATTTCCAACAAAGTCATGCCATCTAAATATGTATTTAGTCGTTATCAAATTTATCTAACCATAGAAAAAAAACAGCAAAATTTTCAAAATCTCGATCATAATATTGACCATAGAGATTTGTTACCATAATTGTAGAAAAATCATAGGAGTATCTTCTTTAAGTGCACAATATTATTGGTAGAGATAATATAGGAAATATATTTTACAAATCCTAACATAACTAGATATCAAATAACTTAAAATGATTTTGAAATGATCATATAATCCCAAAAATCATGGCTAACAATCACTTATATAATAATAATCAAAATAATAATAATAATAATAATAATCAAAATAATAATAATAATAATAATAATAATAATAATAATAATAATCTATATATATCGATAATTTGCATATTTATTGACCATAATAGTTGTAATTATTTATTTATTTTCATGTTTATTGTCATTATTTCTTTAATATACTTAATATTTATTTATGGGATAATATTAATTGTTTAATATATGTAATAATTAATTTATTGCTATTGGTAGCATATATAATTAATTTCGGTAAAAAATCATAGATAATTTTTGTTTTAAATTTTAAATCGGAATTTATAATTGAGTGATTTTGTTTTTTAAATCCTGCCTATGTAATCGATTAAACAATTTTTTCCAAAAAAATCACACGGGTGTCCATAGTTATTTAACTACACCACCTTATTACTGTTTGAAAAGACTAGTGCGTATCCCGTGCGATGCACGGGTAAACAATATAACTTTCATAGCATGTAACATTGTATTATTACACGTGCATAATAAAATCTACATCTTAAGTTCAAATTTTATGTTTTTTAATGGAATAAAATCCTTCATTTTAGGGATTATTTGTATTTAATCTGTCCAAATTTATCTATTAGGGGAGATATGTGATAAATATATCTATTAATTTAGAGGATGATATGTGATAAGTCTATTTAAATCTTGTATGCATCACGTCTTACAATTAAAGTAATTTAAATATGGAGATTATTCTTATTTCGAATATTTGATTTAAACAAAGACCATAAAAATTTATATTGTTTCAAAATTAGACCTCTATCGTTTGTGCGTATTTATATAATACCTCTATCGTTTCGAAAAAAAAAAAAATTAGACCAGTGTATTATTTTTCATTATAAATAATTGTCAACAAAACAATTGAATCAGCAGCAACTTTATTCTTTTAATTGAAACTGCCCGATTTGATGGTTAGAAAAAATATTTCAAAAGAAATAAAAAAATGATTTTTTTATTTTATTTTTTATATTTTTACCCTTAAATTAGCCGTAATTTTTTAAAAATAAAATCTGCGAATCAAAACATATGTATTAGCCGATTTTATAGAAAAAAAAGTTTNATAATCAAAAAGAGTTTACAAGCGATATACAACAAACTACCAAACTGAAACTGAGAGGTACTACACAGAGTACCTAGAACCTCACCAACAAATAAACAAAACGAGAAAGAAAATCAAAGGGTAATGTATCTCTCCACTGCCATAAGACCTAGCTAGATGACATTACCACCAACAAAGAGAAACTAAAAAACAGAAACTAAAGAATAAAAGAAACAGCAGCCTCAACAAACAAAGGAACAGCAGTAGCCTTCTCAGCCTAGCTTGAGGAAGATCCAGCAACAGATGAAGCTTCCAACCAGTCTCTCTGTGCAGCTGCTATCACTATGTGTTCAGGCATTAGTGATTTTTTGAATATCCAAAGGTTGCGAGATTTCCATAGCCACCATAAAAGATAGGTACTCAATTGAATCCTGGCTTGGACTACATCATTTTGCTTTAATGAACTAACCTGCTGCCACCAAGTTCTGAAGGAAAAGGTAAAATTTTGTAAGCCATCCCATTGAACTGGGGCTGACTCCCAAATTCTTCTAGCTCTCGGACAGTGAAAAAGGATATGCTCTGAAGTCTCAGGTTGGTCTTCACAGATAGAGCAAGTGACAGGAATATCTACACCTCTTTTCCTCAGATTGATTGCAGATGGTAATGTGTCAGAAATGCACTTCCATAGGAAGTGTTTGATTTTTCCTTGCATCTTCATTTTCCAGCACCTGAGATAGATTTGATGGGGAGGGAAATAGCTTGTACTAGCTTCAGGAATGTCCAGCCTAAGGAGCTTTTGAGCTACCAAGCAGTTGTATGTGCTGGAAACTGAAAAATGACCTTTTGAGTCTGGCCCCCAAAGCAGTCTATCTGATCTTGCTGGATTGAGAGTATTGATCTTGAGAATTGCATCACTGTCTTCATTGTCAAAGACTTGTTCTACCAGCCAGCTGTTCCACTCCATTCCATTGCTCTGAAGCAGGTCTTTTACCCATATCAAATGACCCCTTGCAATGTCTATCAATGTTGGATAAGGTTTTTTCAGATTTGGCACCCAGTTCATATCATCTATTCTTGTGCTAAGACCATTCCTGATTTCAGTTTTCACACATTTAGCAAAGAAGGGCAACACTGAAAGCCAGCTGTTCCACATCCAAGAACCTTTTTGAGTCCTCTCAGCTTTAAAAATGGAGCCATCAGGGAAATATCTATCCTTGAGTATCTTACTTACTAGCAGCTCTGGATTTGAAGAAATTCTCCAAAGTTGCTTGCAAATTAAGGCCTCATTAAACAAGCTTATGTCATGAAATCCCAGTCCTCCCTTGAGTTTTGGCAGTGTAATCCTATCCCACTTTCTCCAATGTATACCATTTTCTGTGTTGGTTCCAGATTTCCACCAGAAATCTGCACAAAGCTTTGAGATTTCTTTACAAACTGAAATTGGCAATTTGAAACAGGACATAGAGAAGATAGGGAGTGCTTGGAGGACTGATTTTATCAACACCTCCTTCCCTGCTGTTGAAAGAAGTTTGCCTTTCCACCCTTGCAGCTTGCTACTGATAGAGGAGAGGATATAGTCAAAGACCTCTTTCTTTGATCTTCCAATGCCCAATGGTAATCCCAGATATCTTGTAGATCTGTGAGGAACAATTCCTTGGAGGATTCCACAAACACTGTCTTTCAACGTCTGTGGTGTATTCCTACTGAAAAATATTCCAGACTTTTGGAGATTGACCTTTTGACCTGTGAACCGCCTGTACTTTTCCAGAAGAGAAAGAATTTGAATTGCTTGATCACCCCAGCCTTGCAGAATAGGAGGGAGTCATCTGCAAAAAGAAGGTGAGTGATTGCAGGTCCATTACTAGAAAGTTTAAGTCCTTGGATGCTGCCTTGAGTTTGTGCATTGGAAATGAGGGCTGACAGCAGTTCAGCAACAATGATGAACAAATAGGGGGACAAAGGGTCCCCCTGTCTAATTCCTCTAGTAGGAGTGATGTACCCACTAACCTTGCCATTGGCTTTGAAAGATATGGAAGTTGTTGATATGCAAACCATTATCAGTTTCACAAAATCCAGATGGAATCCCATTTGAATCATTATTCTTTGGATACAAGGCCATTCCACCCTGTCGAAGGCCTTCATTAGGTCTAGTTTTAAGGACATGAAGAAGTGTTTCCCTGTAGAGTGTCTGTTGAGGAAGTGAAAGCCTTCTTGTGCTATAATAATATTGTCCATGAGTTGTCTTCCTTTCACAAAAGCAGACTGATGAGGGCTGATACAGTCAGTTAAGCATACCATGAGTCTTTAGGCTAGGACCTTGGAAAGAGTCTTGTAGATCACACTGCATAAACTTATTGGCCTAAACTGAGCCAATGTTTCAGGTTGTGCTACTTTTGGAATCAGAGAAATGATAGTGTGGTTCCAATATTTCAACATGGCTCTAGATTGAAAAAAACTGAAGATGGCAGCTAACACATCCTCCTTTACCTGAATCCAAAAGTGTTGGTAGAACAGGGCACTCATACCATCCTCACCTGGGGATTTGTCCGAGGGTAGAGAGAATAATGCAGTTTTTACCTCCTCTTCAGATACAGGCTTCAGTAAGCTTTGGTTCATATCTTCTGAGACAGTCTTTGGAATGAGATGAATAAGTGACTCTCCATCAAAGCTCCCCTCTGTGGTAAACAAGTCAGAATAAAAATCTGCAATATGTTGCTCAATGTCATCTTGAGAGGTAAGAACTGATCCATTAGGAGTTATGAGTCTGGCAATAGC